GACTCATTGGGATAAAATACTCACTGTTCCTGCCTTAGTGGCTAAGGCCCCGGTTATTGACATCAGCTCTGCTACTACTGGATTCTAAAGAGTATAAATTTAGTCCGGATAAGACATTGACATGGGACTGCATTTTGCTAAATTAGATAGTGTATGTTACAGAGTCTGTCTTTTCATGCCAGCTTCATGGCAGCTGTGGAAGAGCAAGTGAAACCTGATGTGACATAACATTAGAGTGGCATAGACAGATGGTATCTGAGCTGGAATAAAGCATTACCTTACAAAATCAGCCCTTAAAAATGAATACCATTGATGAAACAATGAACACATTTGAAGCGTGAGCACGTGGGTCATGCTTCAAGATATGTGCTTGCAACATGTCTTACTCCATAGTAGGAGTTCTTACGTGCAGGTTGCAGTACTGCTGTGCTAAAACCCTGGAGTGTGCATTTTGGTGTGGCCTAACTCCCTCAAACCTCTCTTCAAGTCATAGCGTGACCCAGTTCACCTGGTCACCTTTGGATACAGATTCAGTTCATGGTTAGATATGTCATGCAGAAACCTTTACTCAGGCAGACAAACAGGAATATATTGATATAGTCATCGATAGGCTGAAGACATTTGGCTTTTTAGTCATTATGTAGCTGTTCTTCTGCCACTTTAATTCATTATTTCTGATTGTGGTTGCAAAGGCAGCTGCAACAGTTAGACCTCTTATTTTTCAGGGCAGCAAAAGATTGCTTTAGCCTACCGGTTTCTACCTTTGCAGCTCTAAAGGGACTTGTTACTGGTGCTTGCAAACGATCCATACTGTTAAATCTTTCAGAAAACTCATTCCTTGATTGTATCCTAATCAAAATGAGTAGCAGTTGAGCAAACTCGTTGACTGCAGTTATAGGCATTTATAGTGCATAAATAGTAATGTGCGTGCATAAATTCAATCTGGGAAAAATACAAGTGTCTGTACCTAAGCTTTGACCAGATTGTCCATTACTGAAAACTGCAGACAAACCAAATGCAATACAATCAGCTCATTGCCTCTGTCAAGCAGCAGTTCATATTCAACCTATATTTATTTTCACATGTATTACAGCTTCAACATTATACATGCCTGAAACAGAGGCTAATAATTCTTTAGTTACTATTCATAGTGTTTCCCTTTGTAATCTTTACATCAGCATATACTTTTATTCTACTTGACTCACTTGAAAAGCCAGGTGAAATAAATAGGTCTCGGCATTGTATGAACAGAATATTTGCAGCAAACCCACTGGCTCCAAGTACCTCTCTCATGGCAAGTGTTGGAGAGTATGCTGGAGTATGAATTCTGGAAATACATCAAAATATCACCAAGAGTGAAAGTTTCCCTGTAAATGCTGGGTGCAAGCTAGAAGAGACAGATGAGCTACTGAGATTTATTTATACTTGCAAATATGTTTAACGATACAGCGCTGCATTATTAACAAGTGTCGAAGAGCAGAAGACAAAAACATCATAACCCCTCTTTCAATTCATTTGATTGATTGAAAACAGTCATACATGTGATTGTAACAAAATAAGTACATAAGTAACAAAATAAATCTCAGCACATCTTTTTCTTTTATTTTTCTTGTACAGCACCACCACCACAATTCCACTTACTCACAGTCTTTGCTTGCACAAATAAAAGATGAGGATTCTTATTTGAACTGTGGAAGGTATGGCTGTTTGTTTTGTAATTTGTTTATGGCTGGTATTTAGGACAATTAATTTGGAGCAGATGTATACCTGTGGTGGTACAAGTTCAAGGTCAGTGCTAATGTTATCTCTTCTTCTTATCTAAAATTCATTGACACTGACCATTTCAGGCATATTATTCTCATGTCTTTAATTAAAAAGACAAGAGGGAAAGAAAAGCTACAGTTCATGAGTAGAAAATGCATTATTCAAAGAACATCAGAGCAGATTTCACAAGAAAACAAAAAGTTCACTAGCACGTGACACCAACCAAAAAAATCTAGAAATGCTTCTTTACAGCACTACGGTGGAGTTAGTAAAAACATTTTAAATGTTTTCAGAATATTTTCAGAACCCGAAAGACTGGACTTGAAGAATGGTTACATGCAGCGCATTCAAACCGAAGCATTTCAATATCATTCAAAGCACACTTGTAATTTGGACTGAAATGGATTTGCACAAAGCCTTTTAATCATGTTTTCAATTTCCTTAACTGAGAATAATTTGTACTCTGAGTAGAGAATATGCAGTGCACATCCACAAGAAAAGAGCAATCAGGGTATGCTCACTTTCACTTGAGAAATTAATAAGCTCTCTGGGTCGATGGAAAGGCCATTGCCTCTGCTTTCAGGGAGTTTGGTGTATGGCTAGAAAGAATAGGTAATAAAAAGCAGATTCTTCAAAAAATTTGTCCCCCCAGCACTTCACTGACATAAAATAACTAGCTCCACCCCCAACATGTTTAGTTACATTTAATATTAAGTGATTTGAAAATGGATATGGCAGTTTATTTAAGCACCCTGGACCAAACTTTTCTCTTAGCTCTTTCTGTGCAGCACCATCAATCCCAGTGAAGATTTTCGTTGTCGATAAGAAAACGACTTTTGCCTAAACTGCATTTAGAAACTGTGTTCGTCTGTAACGATAAATTCAGGAGGGAAAAGAAAGAAACATGGCACATTCGTGGCACCTTTGGCTCAGTGTCTAAAGACTGTCTCAGCGGTTACAAGCCACCTTGCAAACTGGGGTGCAGAGGTAGCTGCCAGAGCACCCACCAGGAGCTGCTCTTGCTGCTCTTGGGTGGTTATGAAAGCTCACTGCCCCTGCAGCCAGCCTAGGGAGGATTTACGAATGAGCAAATAGCTGTCTGAACTCAGGGCCTTCCAGCTGGTCTCAGAGACGTAACTGTAATTAAGCTCTGGACCCTCCCTTCACGCAGCATGTGCGTAAACCAGAGCTGCTATTTCTGAATGCTTCTTGAGTGTGCTGGTGTTGTGGCAGCTTTCCACTGATGTTGTAGTAATTCTCGACTTGGACCCCGCTCAGCCTCACTCAGCCGCAGAGCAGCAGCTCCTTGCTTACCACACCACATCCAGCAGCAGCTCCTTGCTTACCACACCACATCCGCATGCAGCCTGCTCCATGGCCACTGCAAGTCAGATCGATCATGCAGATGAATTTCTGCCAGGTGATACAGAGCTCTGGTCAGCTTTGCGATTTTTGCTGGTTTTGAAAGAACATATACTGCATCCAGTTTAAAATTACGGTGCAATCTCATCATTGGCTTCTCCTGATGCTGACTGAACCAGCAAAAAGTGCCACCAAGAAGGTGCCCTCCACAGCCACGTGCTCTTGCCTCTTCTCTTGCAGTGACTTTAGACTCTGCAGCAGACTATGAGTAGGTATGAGTTGATCATTCCTCTGAGCAAGCCGAAAATCAGCTCTACAAAGCAGTGATTAGTGTTCAGTTGGACCAGCAAGCTGATCTGATCTGCACCGTTATCACGGGGGCCACCTTACAGAAGGAGATGGGAATACACCACCAGCAGTGAGAATGGGATTGCTCCTTTCAGCTGCAGTCACAGGTTGTCTTGGCTGCGGTTTATGTCAAGACCATGAAATCACAAGGGTCAACAAGAGAGCTGCAGACAAGATAATGTCTGGTTTTAATGTATTATCAAATCACAACCTCAGTAAGGGGAACACGGCAACAGCACAAATAAGCAAGCAGTGCTAAATAGAAGGAAAACACGTATCAAGCCACAAGTATGCATAAGTTCAGTTAATCATTTGCACATTACTTACATTGGTTTTGAGGGCTGTAGAACCCAGTTACGTGAAAGGTAACAGCTTTTTTTTTCATTGCTACACCATATTAATTATTTGACTTCACATTTAATGAGTGAATCTCTCTCCACTTCCTGACAATAAGTATAATCAATTTACTGCAGGCAGAGCCTAGGATTCGCACTTAGAGCTGCATAATTGTAACTGGTTCTCGGAGCAGTTGTTCTTTAAAGATATTTTCAGAAAAAAATTAAATTGTCAGCAATTAGCAGGTATGACAGCAAAGTCCCCTGCTCAGCTTCTGGTAGTAAAGGACTTTGATTTCTGTGCAGACTGTTACTCATTCTCTCTTTGAATGCTTGAGGTGAGGCAACAACATCTGTTAGCTGGACTGACTCCCACTGTCAGTCCAAGCTCTATGAAGAGTCATAAATACTTTCTTCCATTAAATGTGGGTTATTTCCCATGGCAAATGATTGTTCTCAATTGAACAGATTTTCACACACATGGAGCAAGTCCAGCGGAGGGCTACTAAGATGATGAAGGGACTGGAGCATCTCTCCTGTGAGGAAAGGCTGAGAGAGCTGGGCCTGTTCAGCCTGAAGAAGAGAAGACTGAAGGGGGATCTGATCAATGTGTATAAACACCTGATGGGAAGGTGTAAAAAATCCAGAGCCAGATTCTTCTCGGTGGTGCCCAGCAACAGGACAAGGGGCGATGGGCACAAATTGAAATACAAGAAATTCCATTTAAACATAAGAAAAAACTCTTTTACTTAGAGGGTGGCCAAACATTGGAACAGATTTCCCAGAGAGGCTGTGGAGTCTTCATCCTTGGAAATACTCAAAACCCAACTAAACATGGTCCTGGGCAACCTGCTGTAGGTGACCACGCTTTGAGCAGGGCATTTGGACCACATAGTCTCCAGGGATGGCTTCCAACCTCAACTATTCCGTGATTCTGTGATTCTGTGGATGTTATCTGTAAAGAATCACTTAACAAAAGTTAGGATGAATTTGGAACCAGGGTTTTTCATTCTTCTTACTGTAGAAAACCTTTCTGAATCAGTCATTGATCAGAAATTCACAAAGAGAAAAGTCTGTCAGTAGTTTTGCTTAACTCTGAAGGTAAAGTAAAATAAAGCAGCTGCTTGAAAGTGTATATGTTTCTTCCCAGCTCTGAGTGCTACCCTTCTGCCTATCTTTTTGTTCCCCTAGGTTACCAAGATGTTGGCTGTGGTGGTAATCCTATTTGCATTTCTGTGGATGCCGTACCGAACACTGGTTGTTGTAAATTCCTTTCTCTCCAGTCCCTTCCAAGAAAATTGGTTCCTGTTATTTTGCAGAATATGTATTTATTTAAATAGTGCCATCAACCCTGTAATTTACAATCTGATGTCCCAGAAATTCAGAGCAGCCTTCAGAAAACTCTGCAATTGCCAGCAGAAACGGGACAAGAAACCTGCGAATTACAGTGTGGCCTTAAATTACAATGTTATCAAAGAGTCTGATCACTTCAGCACTGAACTAGAAGATATTACCGTCACCAATACCTATGTCCCCTCTGCAAAAATGTCCCTCAGTGATACATGTTTGTCCTCTGAGAAAACAATTTGCACATTTTAATATTTGTTGTGTGTTTCTCAACATCTAGAGCATGTTCATGTGTGCCCGGTTGTAGTGGGATACCTTCCAGCTGCGGCAGCACAGTGAATGACCGAGTAAGGCTAGTGGTGCCAGGTCACTGCACAGTGCAGCGGGAGAACTACCCCACCACAGAAAGTGATGCTTTCAAAGGGTCTTGTGCTGAGCAGGACATGACCTGCAGGAGCTGGGATATGGGGAAAGCTGAGGAGAAAGACCTAGATTAAGCCTTATTCCCTGAAGAGCAATGGTGGGGTGCCTGTGCCTGGTGCTCAGGCGTGTGCCTCACACACGTGTTTGGCAGGAGGGTGGCCACTGGTGTCTGAGCTCGGTGACTCCTCCTGGGCCTGTTCTCACTGTCTGCAGGAAGGAAATGGGGCGTTTTCTTGAGTGTCATCCCTGCACCCCTGGCTCAGCATTCACTAGCCTGTTGCCACCAAGCAGATGGCACCAACAGAAGACACTGAGCTCCCACATGCCAACCATACTTCAGATCCATTTCAGTTCTGCAGAGATCATGCAAGTTTGTAGCACATCTCTCTAGCCCATCTTTCTTCTAGGTAATGATGCATGCTACTTTTTCATGCTGCTTCTTATGCAAAGCTACTTAAATAGTGTTCATAAGCCTGTACACCTTAGATCTTGCGATATGGATGATCCACAGAGACACTTATGTTTTCCTTGCCTTTTGCAGGTGATATGAGAATGAAGGAAGACATTTCTTTCTCAATGTGCTTCTTCTCTCCCAATTTTCAGGCCTGAGGCCCACATCGTTCTGCGAGCGTACAGTCATGTAAATCTCTTGGATGCTCTGTTCCCAAAAACCTGTGTGAAACGCAAAGGCTTTTCTGCTCATCAAATTGCAGGAGTTACCATGTGTCTCTACACACCTGTCTGCTTCTCACACTTGGGGAGTGAAAATAATATACTACTGAGTCTAACTGAATGAAGCACTTTAGCACACACCTAACTTTAAGCAAGGGGCTGACTTCAGTGGGATATGCGATTACTTCCTCTCATGTACAAGCCAAACTGCGGTCTGTGCTCTCTGAAAGAGCCAGGCAGCCGGGGCCTTCTCCCCAGATGCAGAGCCATGAGCGATGCTCCCGGGAAAGGGGAGACGAGCAGAAGGGCTGCTCTGTTGCCCTGCCTTGCCCCGGCCCCGGGGGTGCACGCACAGCTCTGGGCAGCACTGTGGGGCACAGCAGAGAGCAGCCAGCACTGCTGCTTATTGCAGCAATTATCTGTCATTGACTCCCTGCTCCACAGTCATGCAAATCTGTTTGTAGGCATTATAACATGCTTCTGTAAGCAGATATCTGATGGTAAAGAACATGAAATCTATTTTTTTTTTTTTTGCAGTGTAACAGTGTAACAGCATGAGATAGGTAGGAAGGTCATCAATTCACAGCAGGGAATAAACAAATTAAAAAATCACTAGGAAGCTTTTAAACATATTATTTGCTCAGTAAGCTAGTTTATAGATGTGCCACTTGAAATGTAAGTCTTCACTAATACTGAATTCTTCCTGAACTTGACATACTGGTGTACTGTATTGGAACAGACTTTTATATTTTACTATTGAATTTTACCTTGGTTCAATAGCAATTGTCTTTCAGGCTGCTGCAAGGGGGTAATAGCTTCAATATAGATAGCGTCTAGGGAAAAGGGGAAAATTCAGTGCCAAATGTCAATATTTCTTCATTTTTCTTCTCCAAGGGTATCCATATGCTACTTCAGGGCATAAAAAACATTTTAAAAAGTCAGTCGGTTGTATATTCGGCTGGAAAGAAAGGAAATACTGAGAAAGCATTACTTTCCTTTCTTAATTTTCCAAGTTTTGTAATTGCAATGTTTCATTTATATGACCATCTTTAGCACTGTTTTTGATAATCGGAAGCCAGAGACAAAAAATTATTTAAAAGATCGATACCCTATAGCCCTCAGATTTAAATTTTTCTGAGAACTCATGTCTGCTGCATCCAAAAACCTTTGCTGTACGTTCACTGGATGGCAAAGAGGAGTTGAAAAAATCTGACTCCTGTCAAATCTGTAATCTTGCTTCTGACTGCTACTAACCTTGTAGTGCTTCACAGGCACTTTGCAGCTTGGCAAGGCCACTAAGGAAGCATGGAAGAGATCAACAGCGGGAGGAGATTTTTAACCAGCAGTGTAGAAATGACAGACTTGTTCCAGAAACCCTTTTTATCATCCATCTCTTTACATCTTTACGTTGGAGACTCGCCTGAGAAGCATGGGAGCTGTCAGAGCATTAGCTAGAGCAGACTTGGGTGTGCTGCACTGGGAGCTGGTCCCACGCTGCCTGTATTGCAGTTTTTTCCCTAAATCCTCTCCCTCGGAGGCAATTCCCTGCTTACAGGGTGAGCTGAGGCTTGGCAGCTCTGACCTGAACCCTACAGGGCCCTAGACACGTGCAATGAGCTCTTTCTACACAGCTGCCCCTCGCTGCATTACCTGAGCACCCACACGGCTGGCAGGTGGAAACAAGGGAAAAATAAATGACAGAGTGAGTCACATAGCAGCCGAGCAGGCAAAGCCGACTGAGGTGCGGTGGTCAGAAGGGAAGAATACCGCTGTTATTTGAGAGCGAGTACCTAGCAATCAGGTCTCATAAATGTAAAAATAGTAATGACATACACTTTGAACAAACCTTTTCCCCTGGCAGGCTTAACGTGAAATTTCAGCTCTGTGGCATTTTATTGCTCACGCTTGCCAAAAACTATCCTACCACAGTATCCTATCACAAGGAGACGTCAAAGAGAATAAACTTTACTCCAAAACAACTGTCAGAGTAAAATGCAATCATCTGGGAAATCTTACATAGGCACTTGTATTGACTTAGCTGGGAGACACGTTCAAGATGCAGGCAAGTTCTTGCGTCTGAATAAATAAAGCCTTAGGGTGCAGTAAGATCAAAGCTGCGTGCTGCTGGCTGCGGCTGCTGCGCGGACCGTTCCTGAGCGCCCCGCGTTCGGGGAGGCCGCGGGTAGGCAGGCAAGGGGAGCGCGTCCTGGGCGCGTCCTCGCTCTTGGGCAGGAGCCGTGGATAAAACATGGAGTGCAAGGGACAAGCTGTGGGATTTGTTGAATCAGAAGTTCGCTTTCAATCCAAAAGCTTTGACAGGCTTCCAGGCTGTTAGCGCTACATTAAACACATGGAGCAGTGAACGAGGCATGGAGGCAGGCCAAAGAGGGACTGGAGAGGTGTGAAGGCAAGCGGGAATCCCTTCATTCCCTCTGAACGCCATCTCTTCACTGCTCTTTTGTCACTGAAATACCTGGTAAAATGCTAATCGTCCGGGTTTCTCATGCCAGCCCAGGCTGCTGGCCTCGTCTCGTGTTAGGAGTTAGAGGAGGGATGAGGTAGAGTGGAACCGAAGCTGTGCCTTGAATTATTTTTAGTGTTTGATGGGAAAGAAGAGAAATGACTATCTTCTGTCTACTTAAATAAGATTTTATTTCCCTCTTGGTAATATGCACACTTCAAATACCGTTATTAGCTAGACATATATCAAGATCTTTCAGATCCCACCGCTACTTTCCAGACTTTTTCTAAAGAGGTCCCAGAACTAGGTCCTTTTCATACTTAAAAAAACAAGCAAGCCTGCAAAGCAAACGGTAGGCAAAGAAACTGTATGCTGCAGAAGTCTGGTTACCCTGTTTAGGTATATGCTCCGCTGACACCGTACTGGCTGGGCTAAGAATTCAGCTAAGTATTCATATAGTAACAATGAGAAAAACTTACACTTCTGTCTTGATGTTGCAGAACGCAGAGTGAATGAGAATTCTTACGGATAGACAGCAGCAGAAATAAACTCTATTTGCATTTTTACTCGAAAAGGAGCATCCTGCTTTCTCAGCTTCTGCCTTCCGTAGTTCTTTTTTAAGATGTGCAAGTGAGATATTTAAGTCCATATTCTTAGTGAGCTTTCAACAAAGACTAAAGTTTATACAGACAATTTTGTATGCACCATTACTTGGGATAATAATAAACAGAAAGGAATGATTTTCATGCTGATATTTATTTTTGCAAACAGAAGTGATTGCGCATACAAAATTGTGCACACAAAGCCTGCATATATGAAATTGCAAGCATAAGTTCAGGTGCTGATTTTGACTCGTAATTTGCTGTGAGTATGTCCTTAGAGACGTTATTCATAAAATACATTCTAATATTATGCTAATTCCTACAGATGCCACTAAGAAACCTTGCTAAGTAATTACGCTAATGTGATGGTAGATCTAGTTCTGTTTACCCCTCTGTTTATAACAGTAACCAACCTTTTTTCTTGCATCTAAGGGTTGTAGATTAGATACGTGGAGATACCTTCATTTAAAAACTTTTGTAATTGTAAGTTTATTAATAATTCTATAGTAAAACCTTTTGCTTGAAGTGGAAGTGACTGGATGTTAACATTGACTGCAGTAACACAACTATTTATCTTTATGTATTTATTTTGTGGATAACAATTTCATCTGCAATATTTAGTTTAAAAGTATTGTCCAAATGGTAACAATATTGAAATCCACATCTACGTTCCCATTGAATGACTTTAATGTAACAGACTGGGTTCTTATAGCATTTTTATTTGGAGCTATACACAATACATGACATAGGGGATAGTACTATAGCATCTCACTTTTGGAGCTACACTGTTTCCAGTGTGAAATTCTTAGATGTTGCAGACTTCAGTGTTAGTAAATTGTGCAGTTGAGATCAGTTAGGTATATTTAAAACACATTTCGGATGAAATTAGTACAGGACCTCTCTAGGGTCAGAGTTAAGGATATAGCAAAACAGCTCCAACGTATTGTGAAAAATTGTATGAAGCTCCTGCGGAACCAAATGGCACAAGTCAAATATAGCTCCTACTAGCTTCGCTTCTGAAAAAACATTATCTAATTTATCTAATTATCAGACTGAAAGGCTGATCCTACTTCAGAAGCTGCTGGTAAAGCTCC